TGAATGTAAAATTAACACAGGTTGCTGCCTAGTGTTTTCATGCTGCAGAACAATGATGGAAAAAGCAAGAGCAGCTTGGTTGTCTTTCAAAGTTGAGAAAAAAAAGTTGTGTATTTGGGGAAGTCAAGCTAGCTAAATTGACGTAAGTACCAGAGAGGACAGAGATGTAGAGAGAAAAAAGAACTCTGAAGATCTTCAAAGAGAAGCTCACTAGTCTTCAACTGAGAATTAAATTTTGTATACCAAACCAAACCAAACTCACTGCCATTGAGTGGGATCCAACTCATAGAGATTCCTTCTTGGGTTTCCAAGGCAGTATCACCACAGTAGTAGATTGCCCAACTTTCCTTCCAAGGAGTGGCTGATGGGTTTGAACCTCCACTCTTCTGGTTAGCAGTCAAGTGCCTTAGGCACTATGCCATCCATGCTCCTAATTGTTGCATAAATGTGAGGAAACTATTGAGGTGTGGAAAAGTACTTCCAAGAAATAACAGAGAGAAAAACCCTAATATGAATCAAGGCTGAGAATATCCTGCTTCTACATTTGAGTGGAAAAACCCATAATTCAAGGGCATATGTTAGAGTATGTAGAAATTTATTACCTCACTAGTGAAGCAAAATAATCCCTGGACTAAAATGAGCTGTTGTGATCCCACCTAACAAAGGTAAAAATAAACCTCAAAAGGATCAATTTGTTTTCAAAGTAGTGACCATATCAAAGAAAACAACTAAAAACTCACTGTTGTCAAGTCTATTCAATTCATAGCGACACCTCCTTGGGTTTCTGAGGCAGTATCGCTACAGAAGTAGATTACCCAGTCTTCCTTTCAAGGAGTGGCTGGTGGCTTTGAACTGCCAGCCTTCTGGTTAGCAGTCAGATGCCTTAGGCAGTACACCACCAGAGCTCCCAGAATAATAGTAGAAAAATAAAAATACCTTTAACAAAGAATTCTCAACGTCAAACGTCCAATGAAAAGATACCAGCTACAAAGAAACAGGGAATTAGAAGCAATAACAAGGAGAAATATTAATATCCAGCAACAGACCCAGGAAAAGCATGCATGATAGAAAAAAAAGTGGAAAATAAAATCATTACAACACTTATTTTCTGTGTACTCAAGAAAATAGAGAAAAATTAGAACATAGTAAGCAGAGACATGAAAGATAATGAAAAGAAACACATAAAAATTTTAGAGTTGAAGAATCCAATCTGAGATGAAAAATAGATGATAGTAGGAGCAGTCTAGACACTGTAGAAGGAAAATTAGTGAACGGGAAGAAGTAGCAATGAAAACTATCCAAAAATGAAATACATGGAGAAAATGAAAACAAAAATAAAAGAGTATCAGTATATTTTAGGAAAATTCTGTACAGTCTAATACATGTGTAACTGAAGTTACCAAAGTAGGGACAGAAGGAGGAAGCTAAAAATATATGAAAAAGATAAAGGCTTTCTTTTATAAGTTCCTGTATCTGTCATCCTTATCTCAGAGCTGCACTGAATCGCTTGTTTAGTGCTCTGCCCTCCCATTAGACTGTAATTTTCTCAAGGTATAAGCCTATCTTGTTCATAATAGCATACTTAGTTCTTAGCACCCTTGCTGCAATATAATAGTTTCTTACACAACAGTACATAAATGAAAATCAGAGATAATTACAAAGACAACGATATCTTCTTTATTCATATTTGAAGATTCTACTTGAGATTTCCTGTACTCTTGGAGTCCAGTTAGAAAGTACTACACTCATATTGAAGACACTACCTTCAATATGAGTGTTTGATACATAATACATGTCCACAAAGACAGTACCTTCAATGTAAGTGTTTGATACAAGATACATGTCCCCCTGACACATGATACAACAATTTATTTGAGCAGTTAGATATAGATACTCAATTTTTCAGGTTAGTGGTCAACCTCCACAAGTCTTTTCACTTAAATTCTTCTTTCTGGTATTGACTGTAGGAGCCTGAGTGGCACAAATGGTTTTCGATCAGTGGCTAACCGAAAGGTTAGCAGTTTGAACTCATCCAATAGTTCCATGGGAGAAAGGGCCTGACAATCTCCTTCTATAAAAACTAGTCATGAAGACTGTGGCTTCATCCTGTAGAGAAGTTCTACTCTGTAATATACTATGAGGAGCCATGAGAAAGTGATTGAGTCAAAGGCAGCTAACAATAACAGAATGTTGTTGTTATGTGCGTCGAGTCGGACCTGACTCATAGCGACCCCTCCTTGGGTTTCCGAGGGAGTATCACTATGGAAGTAGATTGCCCAATCTTCCTCTGAGGAGTGACTGGTGGGTTTGAACCACCAGCCTTCTGGTTAGCAGTCAAATGCCTTAGCCACTATGCTATCAGAGCTCCCACAATAACAGAATAGACTTACGGAGACAAACAAACAAACAAAAAAAATTATAATCAGGTTAGAGGTTCAAGTCCACCCAAAGACCCTGGAAGAAAGACCTGGTGATCTACTTCCAAAAAAATCAGGCATTGAAAGCCTCACACACCACTGTTTCACTGTGGCACACGTGGGTTAACCATGAGTTGGAATTAACTTCATGGAAACTGGTTTGCCATTTGTCATGCCTCTGTGAAGCGTGATAAAAAAAAGAGAAGCTCTGATTACATTTTTTATAGTTTTTATGTGTACTATTACCATTGATAATTATTAAGCAGTAACTGTGGGGCAATCTACTTCCATAGCAATACTGCCTCGGAAACCCAAGGAGGGGTCGCTATGAGTTGGGTCCGACTTGATGGCACATAACAACAACAACAATGAAGATATTTACAAATGTTATACATATCTCATTTAATTCTTATAACCAAGGTCAAAATGATTTACCTACTTTTTATAGATGGAAAACTAAAACATAAGGAAGTTAAGCAATTTTTCCAAGATCATAAAACTATCTAATAAAGTGATGGAGTAAAATTTCCAAAAAGAACTCTGTCTTGTGATTAGAGCTTCTTAGCCATTTAATCTCTTTCTAATGTTTTGTTACTATTTTTTTGTGTGTGATAGTTTAAAGTTTAAATATTAAATATTAACTATTAAACAATAAAAATCCTGTCCAAATTTTGACCTGAAGAGTAGATTGCTCTTTGTGTCAGTATCCATTTATATATGTTCTTTCTTCTAAGATTCATAGCTGGATTTTAAGAGCTCTGGTCACAAAGTGCCTAAGATATTTAACTGCTAACCAGAGAAGGTGGGTGGTTCAAACCCACCAGCCACTCCACAGATGGAAGACTGGGCAATCTACTTCCCTAAAGATTTACCTCCTCAGAAAATCCATCGCTATGAGTTGGAATCAACTTGATGGCAGTGTTTTTTTTTTTTTTTTTTTTTAATTCCTTTTCTAGATTCCAAGCTTTTCCCAGTTTGGCTATACTTCTGCTCTCTTGAGACAATATTTTATTGTATTATTATTGTTAAATTTGTTTTATTACTGGCAATCTCAGACTCTAGGACATGAACTCCTACAATTACAAGCATAAAACACAATCTAGAAACATTTATCCCATTAATATTGTCACACACTTTCTACTACACCAATAATTCCTTGGATTAACAGCCACTGATTAGGCATGTGAATGATTGCTGGAGGCAGGAGGATGCAGGCAATGTGATAAGAAAACATTGATTTTTCAGTCTTACTAAGCTGCTTCTGGAGACTAGGTACAGACTGAGTACCTGTAACTGAACAACGAATATGAAGAGATCCAATCAATTTTCATATCCTCCCTTTTATTATTGTGGTGTTGGTTACATGTGGCAGAACATTTAAGTCATGAATAGATTTTTTTTGTAAATAATATTATATATACTTAATAATCAGTTTTATTTGTCAGATTAAACTATTGTGGTATTACACACCTTTGCTTTTTTCTTTTTCCATTTCATAGTAGTTCACTATGAAGTTGGAGGAGGGTACAAATAAGTTGTAAAAAAAGGTCACTTTAATATAAAATTCATGTTTCAGAATTTCCTTGTAATTCTTAATCTATCAAAACCCAGCAATATTTATTATGATAAAATTAATAACTTAAAAATGAATAAATTATCTTTGAATCCTGAATCCATGTTTTTAATTTAATTCATTTACCAGCTGGCTAAATTTTGAATACGATTAAATTGATTGGAACTTTGTAAGAGAGAGAAAAAAAAAAATCAACTATCACGGTTTTGGTAGGTCAATTTCCAAAAGAAAGTTAATTTTGCAGTATATGTAAGCTCTTAATTAACAGCTTCTGTTGCACTGCTTAGGAGCTCTGGTGGCTTAATGCCTAAGGCACTTGACTGCTAACCAGAAGGCTGGCGATTCACACCCATCAGCTACTCATTGGAAGGAAGGTTGGGCAATCTACTTCCATAGTGATACTGCCTTAGAAACCCAAGGAGGGGTTGCTATGAGTTGGATCCAACTTGAGGGTAATGGGTTTGGGTGGGTTGCACTGCTTTGGATCTTATCTTCAACTTCTATGGAATATTACATCAAAAATTGTTATGTGTCTGAATATGGATCCTTATATATCTTTTCCTGAAGACAAAGCTACTCTTATAATTTCTGATTTTTGTACCTTTTTATTTCTAGAATTTAAATGAACTCATAAAGAGAAATGAAGAACCATACAAAGCGGATGGAGTTTATTTTACTGGGGCTGACAGACAATTCTCAGTTACAGATTGTCATTTTGTTATTTCTACTTGTCAATTACTTGTTGAGCATGACAGGGAATTTAACTATCATTGCCCTCACTCTGCTGGATTCCCGTCTCAAGACCCCGATGTATTTCTTCCTCAGTAATTTCTCTTTTCTGGAAATCTCATTCACAACTGTTTGCATCCCTAGATTCCTAATCACCATTATAACCAAGGAAAAGACCATTTCCTATAATGATTGTATTTCTCAGATGTTTTTTTATATCTTTCTTGGGGTTACAGAGTTTTTCCTCCTAACTGTTATGTCCTATGACCGGTACGTTGCCATCTGCAAACCTTTGTATTATACATCCATCATGAGCAGCACAGTTTGTCACCAGCTTGTACTGACCTCTTGGGTAACTGCATTACTGCTAGTTTTCCCTCCACTGATTTTGATATCTACCCTGGATATCTGTGCTGCAAATATCATTAACCATTTCTTTTGTGACATTTCTCCTTTCCTGAATCTTTCTTGCTCAGACACACATTTGCTAGAATTGGTTGCCTTTTTATTGGCACTTGTGATAGTGATTGTTTCACTGTCATTAGTAATGATTTCTTATTCCTACATCATTAAAACAATTCTAAAATTTCCTCCAGCACAGCAAAAGAAAAAAGCCTTTTCCACCTGCTCTTCTCGCATGATTGTTGTCTCCATCACTTATGGCAGTTGTATATTCATGTACATAAAGTCATCAGCAGATGAAAGAGTTACTTTAAGCAAAGGAGTAGCTGTGCTCAATACTTCAGTTGCCCCTTTGTTGAACCCATTTATTTACACTCTGAGGAACCAGCGAGTAAAGCAAGCCTTCAGGACTGTATTCAAAAAGATATTTTCTGCTTTAGACAAATAATACTATCTAGAGCTCTGGTAGCATAGTGCCTAAGGCACTTGACTGCTAACGAGAAGGCTGGTGGTTCAAACCCACCAGCCATTCCTCAGAAGGAAGGTTGGGCAATCTACTTCCATAGTGATACTGCCTCGGAAACCCAAGGAGGGGTCACTATGAGTCGGGTCCGACTTGACCACACATAACAACAACAGCAACAATTGAAATAATGGGAAAATGTATAAGAAACATTGAACAAAAACTAATTTTATTTTTAAAGTTTACAAATTTATACTTAAGATTTAATTCTTGGATTACTTTAGGTTGCTTGGTCATAGAAACTATTCCCATTCTGTTCATTATCACTTTAACTTTCTGTTATCCTGTATGAAAACCTCTCTATATTAAACATATAAAATTTCTAAATTTATTTCCTCTATAAACTTTTTAAGGATAAAATGAATGAGAGCTTTGACTGTATTATTGATGTTAGGTGTGGTCGAGTCGTCTTTGATTCATAGCGACCAACTATGCACAGTAGAATGAAACATGCCTGGTCCTGCACCAGTTCCAGGATCCTTGCTATACTTGAGCCTATTGCAGCAGCCACTGTGACAATCCATCTCATTAAGGGCCTTCCCCTCTTTCATTGACCCTCCACCTCACCAGGGAATGGTCCCTTCCTACAACATGAGGTGTTGATGAAGGTGAGATGAAATCTGGCCATTCTCACTTCCAAGGAGCATTCTGGCTACACTCCCTCTAGGAAAGATTTATTAGATCTTTAGCAGTCCATGGTACTTTCAGCATTTTTTGCCAGCACCACAACTCAAAAACATCAATACTTCTTCGGTCTTCCTTATTCATTGACCAGCTTTCACATGCCTAGCAGGAAACTGAAAATACCATGGCTTGTGTCAGGCGGGGGAGCTCTGGTGGCTAATGCCTAAGTCATTTGACTGCTCACTAGAAGGTTTGTGGTTCAAATCCACCAGCCATTCTCTGAAGGAAGGTTAGGCAATCTATTTGCGTAGTGATACTGTCTCAGAAACCCAAGGAGGGGTCGCTATGAGTTGGATCCCACTGATGGCAGTGAGTTTTTTTGAGAGTGTCAGGTGCATCTTAGTCCTCAAGGAGACATCTTCCTCCTGAGCACTTGAAAGAGGTTGTTTGCAGCCAACTTACTCACTGCTATACATAGTCTGATGTCCTGACTGATGCTTCCAATGGCCTCGATTGTAGACCCAAACAATGTGAAGTCTTTGACAACTTCAATCTTTTCTCCATTTATCATGATGCTCCTTATAGGTCCAATTGTTAGGATTTTTTTTTTCTTTATATTGAAATGTAATCCATACTGCAGACTGTATTCTTCCATCTCTATTGTATTGTATTATAGAATATTAATCCCTGGAGAGCATGGACCTCTAAAATAAATAATGTTTTTTTTTTTTTAATTTAAAAACCATGTACTTGAAACCATGTTCAGATAAATTTAATTGTCAACATAAAATATACTCTAATTGTTCCAAGAGAGTGTAATCTGATAAAGAATAATATACAGAATTATTTTGTAAGTGATTTTTCAAAATGTCAATTGCTAACAGAATAAGAAAGCATCATTTCCTGTGAAGTGAGCCATACATATGTTTTGTGTGATTTTTATAATGAGTAGCTTGCAGAGAAATAAGTCTTTTTTTTTTTCCCAAGTAATTGGATTAACACATAAAGTAAGTTAATCTTTTGAACATGCCAATGAATGTATTAAGTAAATGAGAATATAAGATGAGTTTTATGCTTGTGCTATGATTGGCTTTTAACCAAAGACAGAGAAAGAATCCTGAAAGCAGCTTAAGAAAAATGAAATCACTTACAAAGGACAACCAATAGACTAAGTTCTGATTTCTTGGCAAAAACCATACAGTCAAGAAGGAAATGGGACAACACATATTAAACCCAGAAAGAAAAACTTGCTAACCAAGAATTGTATATCCAGCAAAATTGTCCCTTAGATACAATGGCAATGTTAGGACATTCCCAGATAAACAGAAATTAAGGGAATTTGCAAAACCCAGAACAAACATAAGAAATGCTAAAGGGAGTTCTTTGGACACAGAATCAACAACAACAAACAACACTGGGAGATTAAGACACATGACAACATAATCTGGAAATCAAACTGGGTATAGAAGTATTAAAAATACAATAAACCTAAAAGATCCAAAATAGGGAACCAATGATGTCAGTTTATAAATGATGATATCTACAAAGCAAAAAGGGAGACAAATCAAAGTGATATAAACATAAAATGGACTGCTTTAAACTAGGGAAGATCATAGTAAATTACAGGGTAACCTCAAGGAAAATTATCATATCATAGGCATTCTCAACAAAATAAAAAGGAGAAAATAAGAAAGTCTCATCAAATACTAAAACAATAAAACCAAACTGAACCAAACTCACTGGCATCAAGTTATCCGACTCATAATGACCCCTCCTTGGTTTCTGATGCAGTATCACTATGGAAGTAGGTTGCCCAATTTTCCTTCTGAGGAGTGGCTGGTGGGTTTGAACTGCCAGCCTTCTAGTTAGCAGTCAAATGCCTTAGGCACTATGCCACCAGTAATGAATTAAATGATGAAAAACAAAACAATCATGATGCTTTTAGGTGCTGTCAAGTCTCCTCCAACTCATAGCTATCCAGTCATTACTTGCCAAAGCAGGATGTGGAACAATGTTTTTGTATAGTATGTTATGCCAATTGAGCTTGCTGTTCCCTGTGACTCTGGTCCCGAGCCTACAGGACTGACTACTCACTCACTCTGGGAGCTGGCTGTGGCCAAGCAGTGACAACAATCTTGATCCTTGTCAGCTCTACTATATACCTGGGAATTCCAAAGAACATACAAATACATTGTCTGAAATACACTGAAACATTGTCTGCCATCCCTATACATAGTCTTGGGCACATTCTTCCCTGAATACACATACCTAGTAGTTCAGCCTCTCCACCCATCTATCCAGCCATATATCAATGTTTGCCTTCACTGACAATGCAGTACTGTGCAAAAAGTTTTGTCTTTGTTGCCTGTACCTCCCATGAACCTCTCTATGTCTTCCTCTTCCTCAATTGATCACTCACATTTGGTACATTGCCCTTCTCTTCAACCATGTCAATACTTGTCTCTACCTAACAGTGTTCCCTCGCCTCCCCTCCCACCCCTGGTAACCAACAAAGAACATTTTCTTTCGTATATAAACCTTTCCTTGACTCTTTACAATAATGGACTAATACAATATTTGTCCTGTGATTGACTTATTTCACTCATCATAATATCCTCCAAGTTCATCCACATTAAGTGGTGTTTTGCCAATTCTACATTATTCTTTAGGGTTGCATAGTATTCCATTGTGTGTATATACCATACTTTGGTTATCCATTCTTCTGTTGATGGATACCTGGCTTATTTCCGTCTTTTGGCTATTGTAAGCAGTGCTGCGATGGACATGGGTGTACATATGTCTGTTCTTGTCATGACTCTCACTTATTTAGGATACATACTTAGTAATGGAATGGCTGGATCAAATAGTATTTCTAATTCCATATTTTTAAGGGTTTGCCATACTGCTTTCCACAGTGGTTTTATCGATTGACAGTCCCACCAGCAGTGTATGAAAGTCCCAATCCCTCCATATCCTCACCTTCATTTCTTATTTTCTGTCTTGTTGAACTTTGCTGCTAGTGCTGGGGCAAGATGCTATCTCATGGTTGTTTTGATTTGTATCTCTCTAATGGCTAATAATCGTGAGTATTTCTTCATATGTTTGTTGGACACCTGAATATCCTCTTTGTTGAAGTCCCTATTCATGTCTTCTGCTTATTTCATTTCTTACTCTTGTTATTTGTATTCTTTCCCTCTTTTCCTTTGTTAAATTTGCCAGTGATTTGTCAATTTTATTAATCTTTTCAAAAAACCAACTTCTAGTCTTATTGATTTTTTCTATTGTATTTCTATTTTCTGTTTCATTGATTTCTGCTTAAATCCTTGTTATTTCCTTTCTTCTGGTGACTGTTGATTTTTCTTGCTGTTCTTTTTCTAATTGTTTGAGATGTTGATTTAAAGTGTTGATCTTGGCTCTTTCTTCTTTTTTGATGTGTGCATTGATTGCTATCTATTGACATCTGATCACTGCTTTTGCTGTGTCCCAAAGATTTTGGTATGTTGTGTTTGCCTTCTC